ATAAAGCTGTTTAACCAGCCACCCCTATTCTTCTATGATTGGAGAGGCTGCGTTTAATGTTTGAACGAGAGCTCAAGAATTGCAGATAATTACCGCTGCGTGGCTCTACCCTGTAATTTGCCTGGCTTCCTGTGCGAGATTGTCGTCTTTCTGATCTAATGCAAGCTGGCGGACAAAGACACAAAACACTTCTGGTTTAGGAAACACGGCAAACTATTTTATTTGCTTGAATAAGTTAGAAAAAAAACACCAATAAATGCCGTAAATGGGAGTTACATTGTGTAGCTGACCTTTATACAATAAACACAGACATAGATTATAAACACATGGATTTTTTTAATTTGTAGCCATTCACAAAAAACATGTTCATACTGATGCTAATTGCTGAGAGAAACTAATTCAGAGACAAACACATGAGGGAGGCTCCTGTCCGGGTCTCCGTGGGTACACAGGGACATCTTGTGGACAATCGGGACAATAACACTGAGGATAAATATACCTGTTTCCTTCTCTGACTTACAACAGGTGCTGTCTGAGTTCAGTTCACGCTCAGCACCGACTCACTGTTCAGATAGCGGTATTGTGTTTCGCTTTAGGTGCCACCAAAAACAGGCTCACTCACTAACACCCCCTCAGTGTCTGGAAACTCAGCTCCGTGTGACCATTTAATGCTTCCTGTGTCGCTGCGTTAAACATGAATGAAGTACAGAAACAGATGCCGCTGCCCCGGTACAGTGCTTACAATGGAGCTATTTAACTCGGTGGAAGGATTTCTCATTAACGCACGGGTACAAAAGGGCTCAGATGCAAAATAAATGAGCAAAAACAAAAATGTTTTCACCTATAATTAAAACATTAAAGTGATAACTCATAGTTTTTCACACTACAACTACAGCAAAGATGGTACTACTGTTGTATTGAAGCTGGTTCTCTTCACTGATGCTGTAACGCAGTGAAAATGTCATCGTCCGTTGATGTTGTGAGCAGTTAATGTTCATTTAGTGCAGAATTTAGACCCCTAAGACAAACCTGAAGACGATTAACAGGACAGGAACCAGATACAACATATGTCTGCTGCACAAAATGTCATGTTTTTTTTACCTTTTCAAGCTTCCTAGGTGTGTTCCTGTGTGACCTGACAAACCATTTCACAGAGTAAAGACAGCCACTAATGTTTCTAAATGAGTTCAGCTTTAAAATGTAAAAAAAAAAAGAAAAGAAAAGCATCTTACTCACATTTTTGGTAGCACCATCTTTCCGCTGTTTCTCTCTCTGGTCGAGGAACCTCCTGGTCCATTCCTCTCTGGGCGGGAGCATCGTGACCTCTGCAGACCGGTACCTGTCTGAGGGGATCTGGCTCATGGGGGGAGGCAGGTTGCTAAGGGTAACGCTGGAGGGCCGGTTGTTGTTGGACGACACCTGAGGCTCTGGATCGCCACTTAGGGCTTTTGGCCACTTTGCCTTTGAGAACCACTTCTGGCTACTTCTGAGAGGGTCTCCGAAGAAGTTTGTTTTTTTATCCAAAGGCAGAGGAGGGGGTGGGGGCTTAAACTGGAACTCCAGCCTGGGCGGGGGGCCTCCGTAAAAGCTGGTAAGAGAATCGGGGCCAGGTAGCGACTCTGAAAGGGAATGTATGCTGGCACTGTTCACCGGATTAAGCTTTTGGCCGTTCTTGGAGAGGTTTATTGGGGTGAGGTCTTCAGCCGGAGGGTAATCCCAGGGACAGCTGGGGAGGTGGGCCCCAGGATGGTTTGGGATTGCAGAAGGGAAATCCCTGTCCGCTCTCTCCTCAGGGGGGGACCCATTTCCAATTCCACTGTCCCCGTTGCTGCTGGCGCTGCCTTGTTTGCCAGTGCTGCCGTTCTCCTTGGCTTGCTGCTGAGCCTCCATGTCCAGTTTAGCTCGCAGCCGCTCCACAGCCTCCCCCATGTCACTGTACAGGACTGTGACGAAGTGAAGAACATCTGGGGGAGTCTGAGGGAATTCCAGGCAGCCCAGAGCATCTGGATCTGGAGAGCAGTCGAAGCCAAAGCGTCCGGCAATGCCTGCGTGGTCCTCGTGGTTTCCCAGCGCTGGGTCGATGAAGAAAACATGGCAGGAGGCCCGCAGAGGACCGTCTTCGGGTACACGGCCATCGATTATATGCGCTGTAGTGACCAGGCAAAAGAAACGGGGGTCTTCAGCACACACCGCTCCTAAAACCAGGTTCTCGGTAGGAAAGGCCGCCAAAACAGCTCCTGTGTCGTCACAAAGTCGGACGCAGTCAAACGTGAGCTTCATCATCACCAGCGTATGGGTATCCTGCTCGGTTCCCAACTGTCGTATCCGCTCCCGAATGGCTTTTAAGCAGTCCTCCTCTGATCCTTCGGTGTTTAAAACCAGTTCTGTGGAGCTCAGGTAGCCCACCACCAGGGTCATGTTTAAGATGCTCCAGTCTGAGTTCGCTTCTTCCGTGTCTGTAAACAAAGAGTCCGTGTCGCCCGCTCGGCAGGATTCCTCCCTCGGCTGCTCGGCCAAAGCGTTCCAGTGTTGTACCCACTGCGCCATATTCGGCTCTGACAGCGGCCTCTGTTTGGTGGCGTTTCCATGACTCGAGGTGAAGGAAGAATTGCTCGAATCGTGCGAGATAGTGCGGAGAACACCCACCTTCTGGCCAATCCCAAATTTTGCGTCGTTAAGGATGGGGTTCCCCATGATCCGGCCTTCAGCACGCACCACCATCCGCAGGGGTCCTCTGCAGCTGCCGATCAGCTGCACCACAGTCTCATGCAGAGCAGTGGACACGTCAGCTCCGTTGACGGCCATGATGTGATCCCCCTGTTTGAGTCCCACCAGGTCAGCAGGACTTCCCTCCAGGATGCCACTCAGCAGACACGGCCTCTGTCCCGAAATAGTAAAGCCATATCCTGCCCGACCACGGATGACCTCGACGCCCCTGAGCTCACCGACTGGGTTCAAATCCAGGCGCCTCCTCGCGCCCTCGGGCTGTCCCTGAATCCTCATCTTTGTGCGTGGGAACTGAAACACTTGCAGGTCGCCAACACTATTGTGTTGTTGTCATCCTACAGTTACACGAAGCGGGTGAAAACAGGGAGAAACTCGGCTGAAAAAGGAGTTTGTTTTGCAGTACATCAAATTATACAAAGTGGAAGAACAGATTAAATTAACACATATGATTGCACATTAATTCAGTGGCTCATCGGCTTTCATCAGACACATGCTGAGGTAAAATACCAACCTGAAGCATTATTCTACTTATTTTAAATAATAATTATCCATCAATCTGCCAAACTCCCTGTCAGTGAATTGAATAATTGTTTGGTCTTATCAAAATCACTGAGCCAGATATGATGCCCAAACAATAAAAGACAAACATATTTAGTTTACAGCCATTTAAGACTAAATAAAGCAGGAAAATCGTCACTTTCGAGAGCAATTTCATGGCTTTTTTTTGTGTTAAAAAACGAACAATGAATCATCAAAAGTGTTGCAGATTAATTTTCTGGTGATCAACTAACTAATAAAACTGTTTCACCTCTAAATGACTCAATATATAAATTAGATTACGCTATTATTTTATACTTGGATAACATCTAAGCCTCTTCTCGTTGAGATTTGTTAAAAACAAAATACAGGGTGTTTTTCTAGCTCTCTCTCTCTCTCTCTCTCTCTCTCCTTTTTTTTTTTACTCTTCCTAAAGTAATTTGTAAACCAAGTAAAACACTGCTATCAATCTTATTTTACCAATTATCTGTCAAAGATAAGGCACACACAGCTTTTATCCACCCCTCCACCCACTGACCCCCTAAAACTGAGTGCCAGCTGGCTCCCTACTCACCAACAACACTTAAATCACAACCAGACTCTTTTGGTTTCTGTGTTTTTTAAATGTTCCAATACTCCACTCACCACAAAACACCTGACGGATCATATCGGCCTTTTTTTTTTATCATTTTTTTCCAGTTATAAGATGTTAAATCGATGTTACGCTCGCACAGAAGTCCGAAAATATCACAACAATGAGGTTGTTTAAAGACAAACTTTTTTTTAAAATTACCTTTTTCCGGGGGCTGAAAAGTTTCACCAAAAGCTCCCACGGTGTTTAACACTCACGCTGCCGTAAGTCCAGACGTTCACATTTTTCACATTACGCGTCCATTTCTTTTTTTTTAATAGTATTTAACACACTTTACGCCGTGATTCAGCAGCGGGAGCGCCTCCCTCCATTCACTCACCGCGGAGATCACAAAGCGTCTTTCATTGTAACCATGACAGCGTAACGTCTCTGGGGCACGTCACCTCCCATTCCGGCCAATAAGCACGCTTGTCACGTTCGATATTCAAACGATTGGAGGGACGCTATTGGCTGACACCGATGACAGTTGACGGTCTTTATTCTGCGCTAAAATAAATAACATTTAAAAGGCTAGGGTTTTTTTTTTTTTAAAAACTAGCAACGCCGCTTAAAATCAAGCAATACTGGGATTTAAACCTCACTATAAACTCTGTAATCATCCCGGAAAGCGCCACGAGGGAGCACGTTTAATTTAAAAAAAACGCAACATATATAATGGTGTTAAGTTAATTAATGTAATTAACATATAAACATATACAATACAAGTCTTACCCATATGTTTTTACTGCAGTACGCCTCAGTCACTTCCCATGTAGTTGCCCCGGTCTCTTCCTCACTGGAGCAGCAGCACTACACTACACATGGTCTGTAAACAATACTCCCTCTGGTCAAAGGGCTGCAACGGTTGCACCCACTGTCACATGGCTTTACTACACATGTGCAACCTGCACATAAAAAAAGAGGGAATAGTTATATTAAAACAATATAATAATAATGCAGATAATTAGCCTAATGTTTGTCATGAAGCAATTTGTTGTTGTTTTTTATCTATTATCTGAAACATGGACATGGCAGGTAGAAAAATGTGGTTTACATCTCTGCAAAACAATTGCATTTTCTTTTTTCATGAAGCAGAGACTGCCATGGAGTTGGTGTAGTGTGTGATGGAACTAATCCCCAGTTTCTCCAAATCCTCTTAAAATAGGCTGAAAGGCAAAGGCTATAAGATGTCGTCTCTATCAGTCCTTACCTTCTGTGTACTTTGCATTTCAATAATTACCCTGCAGTAACAATGCAAGACGAGACATTATTGTAGACTGTGTGATGTTTTATTCAGCAGAAATGCAAATAAGAACATGACATCTTCATATATTAAGGTATTGAAATCTAAGGGGGAAAAAAAGCCACACAACACTGTATATGTTATTTGTTTGTCTTTACTCAGTCCAGTAAGCGTGTGGGCAGAATGCCAATCTGTGTGCTCACAGTGACATGTTGTTGGATATGAATGACTTGTCTGGCAGATTTTTATTTATTGCATCTAAATTAGATTCAGCTTGAACAGTAAAATCAGTTAAAAGTTAAAATATACCTTTATGTTTACTGCTATCGAGCACAAAAAAAAGTTGGTTAGGATGCCGTTTGCCGACAGCTCCTTTCCTATCACTTCAATAACAGCAGGGATTATTGCCTCAACTCCTGGTTCATAATGCTACAAATTGCCCATGTTTTGGCATCAAACCTTCCCAACTTGTAATTATCTTGGCACAGTGAAGAAAATGAAGTGACAAGATAAGTCTGTTTTTGCAAGGCTGTTGTTCCCACAGTGATTTTAATAGGGTACTTGACAAATTATCAAGAAAGAGGATCGGATACAATTACCCTTTCAATGTAAACTCAGATGGGAATTACGGCGGATGCTAAAGTGCCAGCATATGTCATTATAATTATTAACATGGTCATCTTCCATTAATGATATTCAGGCTGATGACCGCTGAGCTATAATTCGACATATGCAACAACACGTTAACAATGTTCGATGTTAATGTCCATTATAACTTTATATTTTTGCCTCAACAAGGCTATAGGTTACGCAATCTCTCCAAGACGACCGCAGCCTTCACATTTCACTGCTTCCCTGGATCTTTGACCCCACTCTGACCCCAGGGTGCTGACGTGGTGGAGGGTGGCTGAATCATCTTCTCCAGAAGGTTCATCATACGCTCCTGCAGCTGCAGACACTGGACCTGGAGGAGGTTCTGTTGGTGCATGGCTCGACGGACCTCCCTGCACGTCTCCTCTATGGCCCGGCTTGACCTCCTCTGTTGCTGCAACATGGCTTGCATAACCCGCAGTTTCTTTCTCTTTACCGACAGATGTTTGTTGGCGCGCCTTTTCCTGGCTGAAGTAGGGTGCGAGCTGGAGAACAGAGAATAGAGCTTTTAGAGCATTCGTAGAGGTCAATGTTGGTCCTACAATCTAAAACAGTTCAGTCTCTTAACACCAGAAAGCCAGAAACCATAGAACGTAAGAGCAAAATGTCTTTCAGAAGTAAGACAAAAAAACAGCTTCCACAACACACAGCTAAACGCCGAACCAAAGCAAGAGAGACAGAAGTTAAAGCTAACCACTGCTATGACACCCTTGGCTAAAGCTAGGCTACATTTACTCCCCCCCTTTTCTCCTTGTTATGTCATATAAAGTATAGATTAAAAGAAAACACAGTGTGAACTGTTCTATAAAGCAAAACACCAAACCAAACAGTAAGTTAAACCACACAGCTGATACTAAAGCAAGACAGGCAAATCCAGTTAAAGCTAGCAAAAGATAGTCACAGCTAGCCTTCGATAAAGCTAAATTTACTTAATTTTTCCTCACATAGCCTTTTCCTGTAATTGAAAAATATAAATTTTGATTAACTAACATCATGAACATTGAGTTTGTTTTATTAAATAAGGCAGAAGCTAAATCCACTCACGGATAATAAAAGCAGCTAAACTAATCCTGCTAAAAGGTAACAACCGAAGTAACCTCCATTTCACTTGTTTGACACTGTTTGATTTGTGAATCTACGTTTAAATGTTATATGAATGAAATCATTTAGCGGTTGAAGACCCCCCCCCCCCCTCTTAAGTGCAAATGAGAAGACCACTAACGCCTATTGTCCTTTAAGGCCTACTGTAGAAACATGGCGGTTCAACATGGCAGACTCCATGGAAGGCAACCCGATAGTAGTATCAACACACTTTTCCCCTTGTATTCCCAATAGTTTTGGGGATTTCAATGATTTTTGGTTGTAAAATAGTCGACCTATTGTAATACATGCAACAGGAAACACACCGAGTAAAGCCAGTATGTCACCTTAGTAGAAAAGTTACCAACATTGGTGGATTCCTTTCCTCAAACAGTAGAATACAAAGGGGAGTTCAATCTGTAATTACCTGTGACACACACACATATACCCCACACCCACACAAATGTGTCTCTGTGTCTTGTTCCTGTTACCTGGAGCCCTGTGTATGCTCACTGTCAGAGCTCAAAGAGTCCAGCTCTTGTTTTATCTCCATCTCATCTGAGGAGCCTGTATACTCTGGCAGGAATCCCATCATCCCCTCCTCTGACAGGGGCACCAGGTTGTCTGTAGACTGGGAGGAAGTGGAGGGACCTGCAGCGGAGGCCTGGAACTCCAAAGGGTTCACCCGCCCATTCTCCAATGGCTTGGAGAGGATCTTCTCAATGGCCTTAAAATACGGCCAGTCAGGCGTCTCCCCGCTTTCATTGGCCGTGGTTTTCAGTCGCCTGTAAGAGCAGAAATAGACGTTTAAAGTCATGCAACAGCTGGAGTTTGAAATCATAACTCCGACTGGACTTTTTGATCTGGTGCACTTGCCTGTACTGAAAAGACATGTTGGTGATTTTCATCTTGATCTCCTCTTTGAAACGCTGCTCTCCGGTCAGCTGGAAAAACCTCTGGGACATCTTCTCGTAAACCTTAGCGTTCCTCTTGCTCATTTTCAGTTCGTTGTGGTGTTCTTCCCACACGTACAGGAGGGCTTTCATTTCACCGTCGGTCCAGTTCGGGGCCCGCCTGTGCTTCTCACTGTGGCCTGGCATTAGGTAGCTGAAACCATCCTCTGTTGCCATTTTTGAAATTGTTCTCTTGGCCTGTGCAGGCTGTGTTTGCAAAAATAGGATCTTTAGAGGTTGAATTTGAAAGTCTTTTACTGTGCTAAGAGCTGTATTGAATCTGCAGTGAGGGAGTGACACATGCAAGAAGGCACACACACCGTCCTGCCTGTGCCCTTCCCCCTAGTCTAGCTGAAAGAGGGCTCAAAATGGGGCCTAAGGCAGGAGAGGAATCCGGTTAAAAGCTTTTAGTGGTGTGTGATGTCACCGTGACATCAAGTTGCCTTGGCAACGGTGAGGGAGGCCCTTCATTTTCCCTCCCTCTCCTCTTAACCACTCCCAATCCGCTCTCCTTTCCCCTCCATTCTGCTCCACCGGCAGCACAAAAAGCTTTTAGCTGAAAGGCAGAAGTGTGAGCGCATGAGATTGCTGACAGTTTTGAAATATGAGCCTCTGGGGAAGGAAAAAAAAAGAGAGAGAGCGGGAGACCACGGGTATGTGTTTCCTTGGCAACAAGGCACTAGATTTGGTAGTCAGCCAACACACTGCTCCATTTAAAAGCTTTTAATAATAGACAAGTCGTTTTGAGACGAGGAGAGGGAGGATTTGCTTTATCTGGCGTGATGTGGAAGGGAGGAAAACACTTCCAGCTTGCAGTTTAGACCTAAAAGGCAGGGGAAAGCCTTTCACTGAAACATTCTTTAGGTGGAAATAACAGGGGAGAGACAACAGACCAAATGGCAACATGTGGCGTATCAACCGATGGCACCCCTGCAATAGAATACAGAACGCTGCCTGCTGTAATCAGCTTTCTATTCATAGACATGGGTTGTAGACAATGGACCCCTGCAGGAAGGATTCCTCTGACCATTTTGAGACACCTCCCCCCTTCAGGTCTCAGCAAGGGGCGGATCTCCGTCTACGCCCATCTCAAGCACCATAATCTACCAAATTGTGTGTGGTTTTTTTCCCTCTTCCTTTCTCTCTACCTCCCTCTCGGTTCCCATCTTTCTTTCAGTTACACACACCAGAAAAACCACACGGCCTATTGCACAAATACACTGTAAAACCCCAAACGACTCTTCCGCTTCTTCTCTTTTGCCTCCTGCTTTGTCTCCCCATATTGATTTATGCTGCCTGAAAAGCACACAGAAATGGTAATGCATAAATACAAGTCGTCCATCCTCACTTCATCTTTATTAGTGGCACTAGTTGCTGTCAGTCCGGCTTAACTCAGTTCTGGCCTGATTAGACCCTTAACCCATCTGCTCCTCAGTAACCTGACAGGCGGCCGGTGCGTTTTCATACTACAAATTGGCAGCTTTGCTCAACCCATCACATCTGTCACTTAAGACGAACGTTAAGCACCACCGTTGCAGAAACAGTGATGCGAAGGAAAGTTGGTGTGAAAGGTTTTTGTGTTTTTTTCTAACTGTGGCCTCCAAGTGCGCAGTTAAATGTTAAGAAATGTGATTGGTGTTCTGGGTATGGATTTATATTTATTGCTGTACTGACTCCTAGAAGGTAAAATATTATTTTTGTGGGGTTGTGATTGTTTACCGTTTTCACTCAGAATTAAAAGGGATAGGTCCACAGACTTAATTGAATCATAAAGTAAGTCTTAATTACTCATGTTTAAATAAATACATCATTTACTTCACTATCACAGCTGCCCATTAACCCGTGTCTCTTTCAATATTGTGACCTTTTGCCGGGGTCGCTATAACTGTTTAATTATCTCCGTACATTTTTTCATTCATTAGGAGAAGTAATCCAGACTACTAATCCAGGAGCCAGACTAATCTACAGATAAACTGGTTATTCGCCACTCACGTCTACAAGTAGAAGTCAGTAATGTGGGTAATATAAATACATATTAAACCAAATTAAACTCTTACTACATTATTTGACAACATGTATTTCCCGGGAACCTTTTATAGATTTCTAATTTCAGCTCATAATATAAGAAAATGTCAAAATTGTGTTCCCACAATAGATTTCAAGTGATCTAACAATATACGTGAGATCAAGATGTATTATCAGCTTATTCAGTAAGCACTTGCAGAGTAAACCATTTAAAAGACCAGCACTACCTTTATATTGTTAATTAAAAGTGAATCTCCTCTTGAACAAGGCATGTTTTTGTTTTGTTATTATAGGTTATTATGTGTAGATTGTTTGAAATAAAATTTATAACAATAAAATGTGCAACAAGTGAGTGGGTCTGAAAACTTTCCGCAACCACTGGTCATTTTAGAATTCAAATATTACAATATTCAAGAATATTTCATGTTGATTCATTTATCAGAACAAAACTGTATAAAAGAAGATTGGAACTTGGATTCAAACACAGTACACAAACTCACAGAAGAGAAAACGGAAAAGTTTTTACTTTATATGTACTGTACGGTATACTGTTACTTGTTTCTGCATTGTTTGTCGTCAATCTTTCCATCAATACTTGTACAAAGGCTCAAATCAAATGAAAGACACTGACTGAAAAAGCTTGGAATGATGTGTCTAAATCAGCTTTTAGAGAAAAAAAAACTCTAAAACCCTTTTAAATTTCAGTGCCAGAATTTGTGTTTCAGACTTTTAAAACACTAACTTACTTTAAAACTTATTGTTCCCGGAAAAGTCAACAAAGAATAAAGAAAATCTTTAACAACAGACTCACAATGTGTTTATGGCCAAAACATACAGTAGGCCTATAAAACTGCATTTACATTTTGAGTTGTGTGTTGCCACAGTGAGAGGTGATGTAGCGTTGTGTGTTCAGATAATCTTTTGTGGTCCTGAAAGCAAGACTAGATAACTTTTGAGAGAAAAAATGAAGTTGACTTCATAAGCAAACAAATGCAGCCTTGTTCAGTTGAAAACACTGAGGGGTTTGGCTATTAGTCTGGTATGGTATGGTATGGTATGACCAATAGCTTATGGTGGCTAAAGTTAACTAGCAAACGGGTTCAGTTTGTTGTACTTAACTAATTTTGCATTATCAAAAGTAGTCAAAAGTAACAAAAGGTGGCACATGGACTTAAATAATACATAAACTAAAAGGAGTAAACCGGAGTAAACCAGAGTAAACGCTTGTTATCTCTTTGAACCTTAGAAAAACGTTTAATGCAAATTTGTGCACATAAAACACATACATACAGTACAGTGCATACATAAAGTATTATAAAGTATAAATGCTTTTAATGTTGGCCTACATTAGTATGTCAGCACATACCGTTGTACATCTCAGCTAACGTACCTCATAATAAACCGGTCCACAATGGACCGAATGCAAACCGACTGGACCACTTTGGCCAAAGCTGGATCCACGACAAGAGATAGTCTTTTGCACCTGCTCATGGCAAAAACTAAACATGACAAAAAACAACTGATGACCACATTTTGTAGTGTGATTAGAGCATTTGAGGCTGGTGTGTGTGTCCTCTACACAAAAATACAGTAGATACAAGCTGTCCACTTCATTTCAATACTAAGTAGAAAGCTCTGTGCAAATCTGAGCTCAGGCAGGAGGTCCAATCCTAGCTTTTTTGGAATTTACTCCTCCTGGGGGGCAGGGAGGGGGGAATGGTATAATCCATATAGTAGCTTTTCCTCTATCAGTCCTTAACATTAACGCAGATACAAGAAGACACAGAAAGCTATTAAATGCACCCATGCTCTGAGGGGCAGAACAATTAAGGAATGTCAGTTTGTGAACCTATCAAATACAAAATACTGAAAATGATTTTTATTTTTAAAGAAAGGGGCTGGTAAATGACATATAAAGTGTCAGGCAAAATCCGGTACACCAGCAGCTTATCTTCACTTCACCCCACGTCTCAGTCTGTCACTCTACGCCCAAAAACAATGCAAAGAAATACACCATATAAAACAAAATGTAAAATTAAAATATAAAAACATGATAGAATGGAAACAATATCATATAATATATCAAGTATTCATAATATACAACAATACAATTTAATAAAAATCAAACCTAAAAAGGAATGTAGTTCTGGAAAAGTACCACTAGAGGTCAGCAAATATTCATGCTCAGATATCCAGTTATACACTTGAAATATTTATCTGCAGTGAAGTTTCTTCTGCTTGTGGACACTTCGAACAACTTACACACCCCGCTTCTTTTCTTCAGGTCAACCTCCTTTCAATTCCACATAGCAGCAGTAGTAGTGGTAAACACTTCATCGATTCAGCAAAATTCACTTAGTTACATTCTTGATATGAAGTCACAGTATAAATGTTGTTTTTTTTTAATTTAACACTCACTTGTATGTGCACAGTGGTCTCAAATGTCTCACATCTGAGTAACATCTGCGATCTTGACAGTTACTGCATCAGGAGAAAAAAGGATTTCCCACGTATCGGAACTGACTCATGCAGTCGTGACAGAAATTTAATTCTCAGCAAATTCTGCTGAAACAATTTCTGTGATGTTCCTGTAAAGAGTTTTGTTTTTTTGAAATTGTTTTCCATCTCTGGTGGTAAAAGTTCTCTCCGTTAATTTTTTTAATCAGATTTTGAAAATAATTTGTCTTTCCAGCTGTGGATCCCTTCCCGGGGATTGTCTGTTTTCAGACTCCGGCCTGGTTTCGCCATCGTGTCTTCAGTGTCTTGAAAGTCTCGGTTCAGTCTCTTGGTAGACACTCCTCCTCGGTGATGCCCTGAGCTTTGAGCTCCTCAAGGACGTTGTCCAAGTGGCCAGGGTCGGGGTAGCCGTGGCCCGTCAGGTTGGAGCCGAACTCCGTCTTGTGGTGCACCTCGTTCCAGATGACTGTATCAGACTCGCCGGTGGTGCTGGACGTGCCCACAGAGAAAATGAGCCGGCGGTCCCACGCTACCAGAAGAAGCCTCAGAACCTGGACGAAGAGATTAAAGAGTAAGGATGACTATCACGAAATCAAGTCACAGAAGTAAGCTTTAAACCACACATGAAGTTAGACGATAGAGAAGGGTTCTCGTTTACCTTGCGTCCCTTCTCGCTGTCAGGGAGGTAGCAGTGTCTAGGGAACCCGCGGGCAGTGAAGGGTTTGCCTGGATTTGGGTGCTCTGGGCCCTAAAAAGCAAGGGCAAAGTTGATCACATAATCTGGGTTAAGCCAACAATACTTCCTGTGTTCATATTTTATAAGTAGCGTCATGTTAACATCGGTAAGACTCTACCTGGATGCCAGGAGGGATGTTATAAATGATCCGGATGGTTTTGCAGTCGGGGTGGCCAGGTAGCGAGTGGGGTATGACATGGTACTCCATCTTGCCTGGGGGCTGGTTGCCGGTTTTAACTCCGTAGATGGTCTTGCAGGTGGGACACTGGAGGCTACCGTCCTTGTTGCCGTTGTTGTACATAGCAACAAGGCACTG